CAGGCATTGGTCTTTTGTTGACTGATTTTCTTAATTTGAACAATTTATCTCAACTGAATAATATACCAAATAAGTCAGGACGTATACTTGACCTTGCTTTGACTAACTTGACTTCCAGCTCTGTTTGCTCCGCTCCTAATCCCCTAAGCAAAATTGACCCTCTCCATCCTCCCATTGAAATACATTTTAGACCTTACAGTGAAGCAAGTCTGCCGTATAATGGTAACAAGAGACTCAATTTTTATAAGTTGGATTACGACAAGGTTCGTGAATATCTGAATGAGATCGATTGGTGCCATCTGTTTGGTGGCACTCTGGATGTTAATGACATGCTCAATATATTCTACAGCAAAATCAACGACGCCATTGAAAAACAAAATCCCCCCACCGTACGTAAATATAAATCACGACCTCCCTGGTTCGACAAAGATCTTATACGAACTCTGAGAGAAAAGGAGAAAATACGCCGGCGATATAAAGTGTATCAAAACCCCATGGATGAGCTTGAACTAAAGTTGCTGAGTAAACGATGCTCTGCTATGGCTACCTCTTGCTACAATAGGTATGTTAGAAACCTGGAAAACGTGATATCCAAGGATACCAAACGATTTTGGGCTTATATCAAAGACAAGCGAGGGGGTGCCAGCTCTTATCCTGTAACAATGACGGATGGCGTTGCGTCATCTTCAGATGGCGGGAGCATCTCAGAAATGTTTGCTGCTCATTTTTCTAAAATGTACAGCGAGCAAGATGTAACTCATCATTCACGTCCCACAGAGTATTTGCAGACTTTGTCAACTTACAGTTTACCTTTGATGGCACCAATAATTGACATAGATACCTTGCTCAATAAATTGAAGTCTTTGGATTGTCGAAAGGGTGCAGGAGCCGACGGAATTCCTCCTTACTTTATTTCCAAGTGTGCTTCTTCTCTGGCAGCCCCCTTACTGCAAATAATAAACCACTCGCTTACCTCTGGCATGTTTCCAAATAAATGGAAGGTGGCTCAAGTAGTACCGATTCACAAATGTGGTGATAGTAATTTTGTGGGCAACTATAGACCTATCTCGATATTGTCTACATTCGCTAAGGTATTCGAATCGCTGATAACACCCTACATCCAGTCTCACTTAAAGCTTTACCTTGCAAATTCTCAGCACGGGTTTGTGGGCTCCAGATCCACATGTACGAACCTAGTGTCGTTCACGGAGACCTTGGTAGGTGCCATTGATGCGGGGGGACAGGTTGACGTGATCTACACCGATTTTAGTAGAGCCTTTGACCGTGTCCCTCATAACATACTCTTGTATAAATTGAAATCTTACGGAATCACTGGCTCGCTCTTTGATTGGTTTGAGTCATATCTCGATAGTCGTACCTTCTTTGTCGCTCTCAATGGTTACCGATCTGGCTCCTACCTCGTCACATCGGGCGTTCCTCAGGGATCACATGTCGGCCCAGTGTTATTTAACTTATTTGTCAATGATCTCGCAGCGGAATTTAAGTTTTCTGAGACTTTCATGTATGCGGATGACTTAAAATTCTGCAGACAGATTGAGTCGAATCTTGATGCTGAGTTGCTGCAGAGGGATGTTGATAGATTGGTAAGATGGTGTGATGACAATGGTATGAATTTGAACACTAATAAGTGCTACCATATGAAGTTCACCAGAAAAACTAAATATATGCGATCTGCATACTACATCGGTGGAAGCTTGGTGCAGGAAGTCACTCAGATGAGAGATTTAGGAGTTGTGTTTGATGGTCAGTTAACGTTTGTTCCTCACATTGAAAATACAGTTAAAAAAGCATCTAGAATGCTGGGGTTTGTCATCAGAAATGTTACTTGCTTTCGCCAGAATCAGACTAAAATACTTCTCTATAATTGTCTGGTTCGTAGCTCTCTGGAGTATTGTAGCGTTGTATGGAGACCACACTATGCCACCCACACATTGAGACTGGAGCGGGTTCAAAAAAGATTTTTGTGGCACTTAGCGTACTCTTCTGGTATAGCTAATAAGAAGCCGTCATATGATGAGAGGCTGAGTCACTTCAAAATGATATCCCTACAAAAACGAAGAGACTCACTAGATTTATTATTTTTATACAAAATCTTGCGATATCATATTGACTGTCCCCAGCTTTTGAGCAAGCTCAGAATCCGTGTACCCTCCAAAAATCCACGAGCGCCTATAACTCCATTGTGTCCTCCACTACGCAGGACTGTACTTGGTGCTAATTCTCCGATCCCTCGTCTATGCAGGTTGCTGAATAGCTATAGTGACCTTGTTGATGTGCATTTGGACTCGCTTGGCAAGTTTCGCGTAAAGGTTAAGTTGATTCTTTATGGTGATGTTGCCCGAATGTAACTATTTTTGTTTGTTTTGTCTTTATGTTCACTTTTTGTTTTGCCCACTATTTATGTTCTCATTGTAAGTATCAATTGTCTTTATTGTACGTGCCGTAAATTTTAAATTTTAAGTTTAATATTCAATTTGTCTCCGATACTAGTTCTTCTTAGTTATTTTGAATGTTAAATCCATGTCAATGGTTGGATTTGCCTGATCATTATGATTTGTAAACCATTAAGTATATAACGCATGTTGTGCTTACCTATAATAGATTGATGCACTAGTATTTAAGTTTTCGTAAATGTAACCCTTTATTGTATAAGTGTAATCAATTGTTGGTGAGCCAAATCAATAAAATAAAATAAAAAAATATCAACACGAGAAATAAAGACAAATATGTTATCTCCACTACTAGACTTAAATAAATAAGTGGTTCGTTTAGATGTCAGAGTATACCTACGCTTTTACAATGAAATTCCCAGCAATATCCAAGATTTGAGTCTAAATAAATTTAAAAATGTCATTAAAGATACACTTCATAGTAAAGCTTTTTATAAAATTAAAGACTACCTAGATGATAGTCTGGCTTGGGAATCAACTGCTGTTATGTCCACACAGGTCATGTCGACATGTTTGTAATATATAGTTACATTTCTTTTTACATGCAATTTGACATTATTATTTTAATATGACATTGTTTTTCATTTGAAATTTTTTATTTTTTCTTCTACCTTGACATTTACTTTTCATTTTTACAATATTGTTAGTGCTAGGACCATTTCCTTTCTAATTACCCTCATTCTGACAGTTTGAGTATTTCTGCGACCCACGCAAATGTTCTTTAGGTTGGTATTGTTCGTCGAATCAGTCAGTCTCACCTGTTAATTGAGCTGATTGTAAGCCGACACATGCGTACTGCCTTCAGAACGGGTCCGCTCAAACTGTTGTGGTTCTTTCCTGAAAAGGCCACTACAGAAAGAACTGGCACGGTTCTCACACATAATCCTTTATACACATTTGTCTGAACTTTAAAAGAGACTGACCTTTGAAATTCACTTGTTTCACTTGATAAGCCGGTAAACGATCAGACGGATCACTTGATGGTAAGCAATCTATGGACAACTGGAACACCAGACGAGAGAGAGAGTACCCAAATATTTATGGAAGATATTTTGATGGAAGGATGTTCGTTGTAGCGGGTGTCACTTTGCACCGTGTACACCGCACGTCGTACGCACACGGCACCGATTTCTAACCTATCAGTGGGTGGGTAACCAAGGGGTACAAATAATAGTCATTTTTTGGTTTTCTTTTTGTTATTTATTCATTTATGTCGGAACGATCATTAGTACGGGATTTCGATTTACTACAAACCGACGGAATAACAACAAAATGAATAAAGATGGCGCGCTTCAACAGTTAATTGTGTGATTGCAATCATTAGAATCAGTGCTGTGAAATTGTTATTTAGATTATTTTGTTTGAGATTATAACGGTGAATATTATTACAATGAGAATGGACTAAATGTTGATGTACTTTAGCCGTTTTTGAACTTTGAAAGTGATTGAGAACTCAGAGGGAGTTTGTTTCGGCGTTTCTTCTCATAATAGTCCGTAGGAAATGCTGGCTTAGTTAAAATGTGAACAAGTAAAGGTGCACAAGTGTCGAAAGTAAACAAACAAACATTTTATATATTTTATCATTTTTAGTGAAAAGCTACATAGTCCCGGTTTGCCACTTATAATCCACATAGGTACAAAGTTCTTCAATACAAATTATGCAAGCCCAAACACAAGGCAGTTATTGTAAACCGTCGAAAAGTTCCCTTAACAATTGCACTTCTTCATCATCAGACCCTTAATGATAGTCCCACTCGATTTAGGTGTAAAGTCCTCATCAATACAAACTGATCAAGCCCAAACACAAGGTAGTTAATACAAACCGCTGAGGAGTTCCCTCGACTATCTGTCATCAGGTCGACTCCAGACCTTTAACAAATTGTAATGTTCAAAAGTACTAATTGAAAAACATAATAGACGCATTACTCGACGCCTACAATTTTCGAAAGTTCACCTCGGTTTCCCTAGGATTCCAATCAGATCCGGACCTCATGGAAATGGGACCATCTCGGGAGTATACCCTTTCAAACAAAACAATTACAAATTTATCTACGCTGTAGTAACGTTTTCCAAGTAATAACATCTGAAGATATTGTTTAAATTTATGTATCGGCAAACATTTAATGGCATCTGGTATTTTATTGAAAATAATTGGCGCAATACCGCGCAGTTTTACATTCATATATACATTGCCCGCGTAGAATAATGATCCGAATCTCTCTAAAATCAGTTCAGCGGTTAAGAGACAGAGAGTCCTGGAGTATTAAAGCATATAGTACCCGTTGTCATTTTTCATCCCCTATTTTACCCCATTGGGGGTGGAAATGACCAAAATATTTTCTTAGAGGAATTGACGTCATAATGTCTACCTGCACGCCTAATTTCAATCCGATCGGTTTAAAATTAACAAAGTTTGATATTAATATTTCATCCTCTATTTTACCCCATTGTATAATCAAATGTGTGGTTATAATCAAATTTTCTTAATGGATGCTTGAAGTCGTAACAACCAGCTTGCCGAATTTTAACTCGATCCGTCCAGTGGTTTGGGCTGTGCGTCGATAGATCACTATGTCAGTCAGTCAGTCAGTTAGTCACCTTTGAATTATTATATATTAGATAGATAGAGATAGATAATATATTTTCATATTGTGCACGAATAATAATAAGAACGTTTTATTATTATTATTTTCATATACATATACTGTGTACGAACAGGGGGCCTCTTAACGGTTGACAATTATTTGAACAAATGTTGATTTGCTTTAACAAATATCGACACCTCTAATATGTACGTACATATTTATATATGCTTTATTGTACACATTTAAGTACCTTAAAAACAATCAATTCAAGTAGTTAAATATGCGTACAATGGGCGGTCTTATCACACAGTGGTGTTTTCTTCCAGACAACCTTAGGATGGAAATATTCATAAGAAACCAGATACATACATGGTCCAGAAAGTAATTTAAACTTCTTAAAGAATGGAATGCAACTATCCGTCTGTCTCAGACCGCACAAAGTTCCCTATCAATTGAATGTCCCCAAAAAATAATACCGTATCTTAGAATAGAGGCGACCAATCTGTAAGAAGTGTATTACTATTAACTTTCTTGCTAATTTTTTTTTTCTTTTTTAAAAAACGTTGCCAAAAAAAAGTAAAAAAGAAAAAAAAGAAAGAAGAAAAAAAAATTTGGAATAACAGATATGCAGACTTACTACGACGTGTGCAGATTTCATATAAGGGTAATGAGGTTTCTACGTTAATTTATTATCTATGGTAATGCCTAAGAATTTTGCACTTGTAGCTTTCTCCACTACAATTATTATAGGTAACATTAATCGTCAAATTATTACGACGCTGGTGGAAATGTATAACTTTTATTTTATTAAAATTAATTATAAAATTATTAAAGTCAAGCCAATTTATATCGAGCATCTTTATCAGCCGTGCTCTTTGATGGTGCAGTAATCCTGTTTGGTATAATTGACGTCAAAAGTCTGAGTT